TAGCAAATGCTGTGGCAAAATTAATCCCTATAGAAATTCAACTGATCCATTTCCTTTTACTAAAGCAAAACGCATGTATCAGCTGGATTAAATAGTGTGCTGAGGCTATCAAATTTTTAAAGGCGATTTACTTGTATATTTGCAGCGATTCACTTGTTCTATTGTCCCCATTACGCACTTGCTATTGCGCATTTTATAAGAATAGAGTATTGTTAAAATCAGGGATTTACCGATGCCATAAATGTTAAAACATGATTAAGATATTATTAGTTTGAACGATGGCTCTGCAGCACGATATTGATTTTTCTCTATTTTGGCGCTCCCAATGGGGAGTACTTTCGAGATCTTTTGCGTGTTTAATTCTTCTTATAGCCCACGTACCCTTTTGTCTTTCTGAGGGCAATTTTGGGCCTTATAAATTTGTAATAACTTGTGTTTAATCTCTTCGTTTCCCAATGTATGCAACAATTTGCTGCTAGTTATGTTGTATGATAGACAGTACATCAGCTACGTCCAGGATTGCGCCAGCTCAACATTGGCATGCTCTTTGTCACCGTTTGTCTGGATAAGGGCGATACTACTTTTTCTCCTGCAGATTAGACATTTAGTATTCTAGTGCACTTCATGCAGTACTGTGCAGCTCTGCTTCATGCTCAGACTGGTTGTAGCTTTTATTTGCAGAACTAAGTCGCTTATTTGCTCAGCTCTTTTACGTTGATTAGCGTATCCAACTACCTCAAAGGCGGTCGAAACGCGTACTAGCTACCAATATTTTTACTAGTGTTGGCAGTGGTGACAAGTCGCCACGTAGAATTTAAAGAGCAGCTACTTTACTTTTGGTTTAGCAATTAATGGCAAAAAAAACTGTGCGACATCTCAGATCGATTTACGCTTGATCGCGTTTGTGTTCTTGAATAAATAGGTCGTGTAGCTGATTCGGATAGCAACATCAGATCGTATAGCAGAAGTGCTATCGGTTCAACTTTAACATCGGTGCTTTGACAGCGCAGTTCAACCCATTGAGGGAGAAAGACTACTACAATATGCTTGATAATCGCTTGTGTTTCTTACTTCTCTCCCGCTTATCACTGTTTTGATGCGTTAAAACAGGTTTGTTATCGTCGTACAGTCCCTTCATTTCATATGAACCGTACGTCTAGTCTTGCCTTGCAAGAATCTGTGTTCATTTTTGTACGAGTCATTATACGGTAGACCATCACTGCTTATTGCGAGCCCAAAGGGTGGAGCTATTAGTGACTATGCGAAAGGTTGAATGCCAAATTTATAAATCGTACTTACCTTTGTGTGTACCTGTCTACGTGTATGTCAGTGCGTCTGTTAATAACGTGGTTAGGTATACTTACACGTACTAAGTGCGATCTAGCCTGTACCCTCATAAATTTAGGTGTATCCAACGTCACTTTTTGGCTGGGTCACTAATACAGCGCACTCTTGTGATTGGCTTAAAATCGATTAAAGGCAAAAATGATCACATTAGCAAATGCTGGACGCTTATAGGCAAAGACAAATCGCGTTGCCCGAGTATACTGCGCTGGATTTAAACAGACATTATCATCATCATACTCATTCTTCAGTGACTGATCTCGTAAGGTGTTTTGCAACTTGATCCGGTTCTATGAACTGGAACACATATATTAAAAGGTGAGCTCCAGAGCTTTCTCCTATAATACCTACCTTATTTTTACATCTCATCGTCAACTGTGGTTGCTAAATATATCCCCCTAGTTACCCCTCCAAAAAGATACTCACTGCACAATTATGTAGCCACGCGAATTTCAGGACGACGCCATTTTCTTGTAACTCGTGGGGCTTCTACTCTCTCGATTTTTTACTCAGTCATGATTACGCCTCGTTCAGATGTAGGCGCACTATAATTTTGATCTCCTTCACTAGCGATGTAAAGAGCCAGTACTGCGTGGCCGCTCGACGTTTATATTTTATTTAGTTTGAATTCGAATCATAATTTTTTTAAATTTTAAGAAAACATGATCAGAGTAGGATTTGAACCTACATCTTCACATTATGAGCCTAATATGTTAACCTGTTACTCTATCTCATCTTTAAATATATAATTTCGGAAGAAAAGGATTTGAACCTTTGATCTTCTGTTCCCAAAACAGAGGAATTAGCCATACTATGCTACCTTCCGTTTAATGTTTTAAATATTTATAATGATGGTAGGATTTGAACCTACAGCGTTAGGATTACGGTTCCAATGCTCAACCATTAAACTACATCATCTTATCAATAATTAATTGATAAAACATAAGTCAAAGTGGGATTTGAGCTCACGAGTTAATAAATTAACTGATAGTTTAGCAAACTATTGCCTTAAACCTGACTAGGCTATTCGACCTAAATATAAAAACTTCTTTGATAGGATTTGGACCTGTAACCTAATGGCTACCAGCCATTTGCTCTACCATTGAGCTACAAAGAAATAGTCATATTTTAATTTAAAAACACTTGGCAATTTTAAGCTAAATATTCTATTGTGCTCGCACTTTAAAATTACCAATGTAATGATCTATTACATAACACGAACGTGTAACTTACGTCACACTATATGATTTTTGTCAACCTTGGCTCTGTATGTGCTGCACTCGTGTTTTGCTCGTCAATTTTTTGACGGATCAGTCTTTCTCAAATGTGCGATCGCAGCTAGTCTGACCAGCAGTGTCAAGCGTCGCTGATCTCATCGTTTTATTTTTACAATGCCTTGTCGCACGATGAACTATGAGCTTTAGCTTTTAAAGCTAATATGGTACGATGACTAAGCAGATGACCTTGGTACATGTACGCGAACAGTAATCACTTGGCCACCGCCGATTCGACATTCTAAATTATAGTGGCCTTTATCCCGACAATGAGACGGGGGGCTTGGCCAGGCCGGCTAATCGCTACACAGATTTGTCTCAGAGTATGAGACCCCAAGTCAGCCCATCCGTGTCATGACTACGAAGAGTAACGATTGATGAGATACGTACCAAGGTGTCTTTCAGTCTCTTGTGGCTCCGGATCTATTGAGAGCTTCACTTTTCATCAAACTCGACTACAAAATAAGGCACATCGATGGTTTTTACGAATCTAGTGTCTGTGTTCATGAAAAGATTCTGTCCAGGGACAGTATTTCTAAGCTCAGTTGCACAGTTGCCGTTAAAGTCTCATCCTTTGAGCTTCTCTAGGAGCAAGAATAACGTCACCTTATTTCCAAGCAACGAAGCTTGTGTCTCTATAATTTACAAAAAGTAATTTATTTTTTGAGCTGATAAAACCCGTATCAAAGGCAAGCAATAGAGCTTGCTCCTCTGTAGTTAATTGATATTACGGGTTGTCTACAATTGACAGAAACTTTGGCTGGTATCAAAGTTTTGGGTGCAAGACATGCTGAATCTTGCCTAGCGTACCAGCTTGTAGTTATTTTAAAACCATCACTGCAGTATAAGTTGGCAACGAAGCAAGGAGGTCGAGTTTTTTTTGTAGCTGATCGTTACATTCTATAAAGCGAAACAGACAAGAATGTAGAAGCCGTGAGCTCTGCTGCTTTTGCAAGATCACAAACACTGGTGGGTGAATCAGGCAGGTCACACTTGACTAGACTGGTGAGATATATACGAGGCTGAGACTCTGCAAGGGCATCTTTAGTGTGGATTTAATTCGATTTCTGGCCAATCAGGTAGCGTTATTTATCAAATTTATCATTGCGCGCCGCAGCAACGAAATAAATTAGGGGATAGCTCGAAAACATTTTTTTTTCATACGGCGCTCAGGTTTAAAATTGTCGCGACACCCGAGATAACATCGTAGGCTGTATGTCATTAATTCTAATCCGTGAGATCAGCCACATTGTTGGCACCAACCGAATATTGCATGTCATTGGCTTGAGTTAATTAAGCAAAATAAAAGATGAAGTCGACGACGATCTTCACATCAGTACTTTCAAAACGCTTCTTTTCGAATCTAACTTCGTGCCTGAAAATATAATGGGCGGCTACAACCACACCCGCCACACACTCGACCAAAATAATCGATTCATCGTGCAAACCTATGTACCAACTACTAAGAAGTTTCCCGTACAAAAGCTCAAGTAAATCTTGTCCTGAGTGTTAATTGGTGTAAAAAAAGTTGACTGATAATTACTGCCGGAGCTGCTAAGGGGCTCAAAAGGGGCTCAAAAGGCACCGCCCTATCCTACCAACTACTCGTCTGACCTTGTTTCCACTCAACAGCAGCTGCGACAAAACCAAATCCGATTGCGCGTCCACTCTCTGGACGCAAAGCGGCGTTGCACTTTTCAGCAAGCGTCGTCGTCCCCTTGAGAGCGGAACATCAGGGACCGGCTCCTCGTACCTCTAGAGAGCCCTTCCAGGCATCTCGTCATTATTACACGCGTCGTGGCGTCGCACAAAAGGGCGACTATCCCCGTGGTGAGATGTAACAGGCAACCCACGTTCACTCCAGCTGTGAGCACTGGTGCGCCACTGCACATATCGATACTACAAAACCTCTTTGTTCCATCTTTCAACTCGTAATATCGACATCAGAACTTGAGAGAAGAGGAGAAAGAAACACACACGTAGACGCAAGCTAAACGTCAAGCTGCGTATCTCGGTCCGTCGTCACGCTTTCTGCTCCACTGACGGACGATTGAACGACTCATTAGCTGCAGCACTGACTCTGTGCGCAGAACCGGGCGTCTCCGTTCCGATTGGCTCTCCCGGCATCGCCCGCACTCCCGCGCATTGGCGCATAATCGCCATTACCTGCGCCCCCTCTCGCTTTTTGCGCGCTCAACACCGACGACCAGTCGCCGTTTCCGCCTCGCCTAGTGAGCAGCAACTGGCGTCGAGACCTGCTTTCTTTCCCTCCCGAGTGCGCGCGCGCATCCCCTTCGTTTCCTTTCCTTTCGTCCCCCTCTCTCTCTCCCCCTCTCTCTCCAGCTCCACCTCCCCCCCTCTCTCTCTCGCGCGCGCGCGTCCATGGGCCGCAACCTCTTTGACTTTAGCATCGCCAACAGCAGCAACAAGTTCTTCAGCGGCAAGAGCCTCCACGACGACGACGACGACCAGCGCCACCACGACCACGCGTTCGACACGTCGCTCTGCAGCACGGCCAGCTCCTCGGCCGGGTCTTTCGCCCACCACTCGTCGTCCTCGTCGTCCCTCTCGCTCGGTCCACCGCCGCCGCCGCCGCTTCTGCTGCCGCTCGACATGGGCGACGCCGCCATGCACCGCAACCGCTCGGCCGACTACAGCAGCCGCGGCGACCGCCGGCCCTTGACGTTCTCGAGCGCCAACGTCAGCGCCAACTCCATGGCCCTGTCGACGCTCACGGGTCTCCACCAGCCACAGCAGCAGCAGCTCCAGCTCCAGCTCCAGCAGCAAGCGCCACACGCCATGGCCGCGACCAGCCACGGGTCCGTGACCGCCGAGTCGCGGGCGAGCAAACGCTGCTCCGTGTGCGGCAAGGGCTTCAACCCGCTGCGGCGTCGCCACTACTGCCGCACGTGCACGGCCGTGGTCTGCAGCTCGTGCAGCATCTCGCGCAAGGTCGAGAGCACGTTCGAAGGCGCCATCACCGTGCGCATGTGCGTGAGCTGCAAGCTCAGCTCCATCGCGTCGCAGGACGATTTCTACGACCGCATCTTTTCCACCAATGAAAACGGCACCAGCACCGCCACCGGCAACGGCTCGAATCCCCTCGGCGCGACCACGTCCGACTCGCAACTGAGTCTCAGCGAGAACGGCGACTTTGCCACGACGACCGACCGGCTGAGCTTCGCCTCGTACTCGTCTGCCACGGGCGGGAAACACGTCACGCGCGGCTCGAAAGACGACGGGACTTTCGTTGGCGGAGCGACGACCACTGGCACTAGCAGCAGCAACAGCAACGCGCAGCTCGTGGACGCGCAGACGCTCCTGGACAAGCAGCGGGCGACGAGCTCGTCGAACCTCCTCGTGCGACGCAAATCGAGCTCGACGCGGGGCAGCAACCACGCGCCGGCACCAACTGCAGCCGGTTCAGGCGCGCGAGGTCGGCACGGGTCGTTCACGGCGTCGCACGTCGTCACGGAAGACTGTCCGTGGTGCATGAACGAGGCCTGTGCGCCGCTGCACGAGTACTTTGAAGTGCCGTACCCGTTTTTCCTGGAACTCGCCGACCCGGCAGCCAAGAATCAGTACATTGCAGCCAAGCACTTGGACAATGAGAAGAACCGGCTGCGGTCGGTACGGGCCATCCGGGCCGCGCTCAAGACGAGTCCGGCCGCGTTGCAGACGATCTTGCAGCTCTGTAACATGGCGGCCATCGCGACGTCGAGTCCCATGGCCTTGGTCGGCTTGCTGGACAAGCACATGTACTTGCCGTGTGCCGAGACGGGGCTGGGCTCGCTCGACAAGATTGACCGGCAGAAAAGCTTGGCGGCTCACGCGTGCCGGAATGGCTCGCCATTGGTGTGCAGCAACTTGACTCGCGACGTGCGATTTGCGGCCAATCCGTGGCGGCGGGATGTGCTCCAGGCGCAGTTTTACGCGGGCATCCCACTCACGCTGTCGAACGGCCACACGATTGGAGCGATTGAGGTGTTTGATGGGACACCGCGGTTTGCCTGCATGGACGTCATTTCGCAGCTCCAGACGGTCGTGCGCGGTCTTTTGCGCAAGTTTGAGGAGATTTTAGCCAGACGAATTGGGTCAGGAAAAGAAGGGGCAGAGGCTTCGCACAAGCGGCGGGCGCCGCACGACGAGTGTGGTGAGGGCAAGCATCGCCAATCTCGAGCGCCAGCGCCCAGTGCTCCAAGTGCGCCGGCCATTCCGCCGCCGAAGAAGTCACCCAAGTCGCCAGCACAGACGCTTACCCACAGGCCGCCAGGACCAGCTGTAAATTCTCCGCATCAACCTGCTTCACCCGACGAAAAAGCTCAGTCTTCAGTATTTGGGCTTTCAGCAGCAGCAGCAGCACCGCCGCCGCCGCCGCCACCGTCAACTCCGGCAGAGACACCACTACAGGCAGCAACAGGCGGTGAGCCCAGCCAAGACGAAATGGAGATGCGGCTTCTGCAGTTGCTATCGCAAAGTACTAGCACACAGGAACAGCTGCGCAATCAGCAGGGCCAGATGGTTAACGCTATTAGCTGCCACTCCAAGCAGATTACCGACCTGGCAAAACAGCTCGAGCGCATGGAATCGACTCTTGCTGCGAAGCTTGGTGCGGACGCAGAGGACGACGACGATGACGACGACTCGTCGGTAAACGGGGACGCGGATGCAACAAGTGCATAGAGGGCTTTGCACACGCAGTTGCCAATGTAGTGATTAATCCCAGCAGCGCATCAGCGGCGTGCTGTTGTATAAGTCAGGTAGGTCCTGTGCTTGTTTGCTCCGGTTCACAAGCTGTCTGTCTTGTGATGGACTCCCGTGTACGTACGTAAATGTAAGTTGAGCAGAAGACGATAGAGTACGAGAGTTAGTGATAACGTACTGACCGCTGGCTGTACATTTTTGGTATAAAAAGTATCGACTCAAGTGACGCTGTTGGTGATTCACAAGCTCGTCAGCTACAAATTGCTGTGTCCTGTGGCACGTAATGTGGCGATTTAGTGCCCTGGGTACCTGACAGTATATCGATCTGCTGTTATTACAGCAGATGACGCCGATGATTCTGTCCAGGTGAATGCAGTTAATACTACGACAGTCGGTGAATCGTCGCGTCTTCTTGGGTTGAAACCGCATGTATCTGCTCTGAATCTGCCTTCATCTTGTCCGACCTTGCTGCGCCACTGCAGTTACGCTTCCTTCAACAGGGTGAACGTTCGCACGTCAACATGGAAACATCCACTCGCAATCTGAAAAGACTGGAGTGCAGACTGTCTTCTACCGGACCATGTATCCCCCGCCTCGCCGACAGAGCTAAGCTGCAACAGCTGCAGACAAGTGTTGGCGATGCAGCTTCTACTCATGGCCATGGTTCATCTCTGACATGCAGGTAATTTGGAATCACGCTGCAATTTGCTGCAGACAAACCGCACTGTATGGCAACGACAATGACTGCTCCACAACGTGTTGAATGACTTATTGGATTCGGCCCACTCCCACGTTTTCTTCACCATTATAAGGTTGTTCGTCGTTGCACGTTTGTTATAATCACAATGAAGACCAGAAGTCGAGCGCGTTGCCAGTGTTACAAAGATTGAGGCCGCACCATCGTCTGCAAGTAGACAAGCACTTTAGTACAACAAGTACGTAAAGACTTTCAATGTTTCGCCAAAACTTGCGCGGATCCGCCAACTGTACAGGGTGGGCAACGTCATGGCCAACGGTACTATCACGAGACAGTCCTCTGTTTTATTATGCACGACAATGACTACAAACATTTTGGGCGAGTTGGTAGCGCTTAAAGTAAGGAGCATAACGTGGCGCGTGAATCTATCACTACAAGTCAACGACCGCACTTAGCGGCGGCGATATAGTCAAGTACAATCACTTAAGCCACAAGAACGTCAGGATTGTTTTATCCTTCATGCAACGCACTGTTAAATTAGGTAGATACGAGTGCTGATCGGCCGTGCAAGAAAGTGCGTTAGCGTTGCCCTCGGCCTCGAGTGGTCTAGCTAGCACTTGTGCAGCAAACATTACAAAATTTCGATGTCTTTTCGATTTACGTAACGTCCACTAGTTTACCTATAAGACCACATCCAGCATTGAGTGAGATAGGGATGCAAGCTCTGGAGCTCGGCTTTCGGTATAAGTTATCAGTCTAGGGAACTAGATCAAAGTTCTGAAACGCATTCCGGGCCGTTGGCAGCTATGGAATGGGCGCGTGAAATTTCAGAATTTTGATACGCTGAGCATTAAAAGAGGAAGGTGCTGATGGATTGTGTGGTACAACTACTCGTTTATAGTTGATGATGTTTCGAAGAGAAAAGCATGAGAAAAGGGAGACTGCACGTCGACGCCATCAATCCGAAAGCGCAGCCGGCGACACACAACTAAATAATTATTGCGAGCCCGAAGGGTGAAGCTGTAACTTACTGTTCGCAATTGAATGTCGAACATTTAAAACTTACGTGTTTGTGAGCTCTCTGATTAAGTACGTAAGACGTCGATGTAACTGCTGGACGATGTTGAATTGATGGCCGAGAGACGTCTAAAAGTTTGAGTTATAAGAAAAACAGATGACGCTCAAGGAGTAACAGATCGAGGAGCTACCTACATCTTGATATCAAGCTGACACCGAGCCCACATACTTTGATGCAATCGTGTATAATGATGCACGACCGTCCAGTTATACTTTTGGAAAAGCGGGCTGACGTACTTCTGCACGACATTATCACCCTTGCTTTGTGATCGAGGTATCACTACCCTTGACACATAGGTATGCGTCGCTCGATCGAACGCGGTGGTCCGTTGCGGGTAGCCAATGCCGGCAAACGCCCATCGGCAGCTCTGGTCGTCCATCATGCGTACCATAAGTAGCGCGACAAGTCGACGCAGTCATGAACGTACATGTCCAGTGGTAAGCCCGAGTGATCTACAGTGCAAATCGAGCAAAGAGGGGCGTTGGATTCGCTTGAGTTGCCGAAGTCGACGAAACCAGCGACCCGAAAAGTCAGACGGAACGAGCGTCTCACTTTTGCACGACACAGAAGGAGCCTGTGGGTAACGAATGCTTGAGGTCCCACGCATCTGCTCGAGGGGCCAGCGACGTCGCATGACCAGCTGGAACGCGGTAAAACCACACGCTGTTCTTGCTGAATCGACAATGCTCGAGTACGAAGGGATCCTATACGGATGATGACGTCTTCCGGAGGATTGATGGATCGACTGGCTGATTGATTGACTGTTTGCAAACTGACAACAGCTTTTCTTGTGGCCTGTCTGCTTGTCAGTCTGTCTCCGGATGACAAACCACAGGTGATCGAATGGCGCCATCAGAAGTCGCCCGGTGCAACGAAAAGCACAGCAGATGCGAAGCCAAAATCAGTATGTGCACAGGCCTATTCAAGAATTGGGTGGGGATCGTGCTGACTCGAGTTAGAGAGGCGAAGATGTCATTTCGTTCCCAACAATAATGGACTGCAGCTTTATCATTAAAACGTCCTCTTGTGTGCTCGCCAAATAGTTTTGCTGTTCCGAATTCTTGATCAGTGTCCGGGTCTGATTGATGCCGGCTGAACGAGACGCTCACCCGACCATCTCGGACATAAGATAGCGACCATATGCTGCTGTTTCGAACGGTGCGCACTTTTTGTCAACAACATTACAATCACCACACCAGAGCGTGACGACGTCACACTAGTGATCGATCAACGATACATCAAACTAAAAATATGATATCCAGCAATCGCAGTAATTGCGTTCTTAGCTTTGGAAAGATGCGTCATTCCATGCAGCATGAATCGGTAGATAGCATTCATGAATATGAAAAATGCAACGAGTAAGTATTCGTCATGCTCGCTTGATTTCTGCGCAATACACCCGTCATAAATGTTTTAGCGTTTTCGTCTTTCTTTCAGCCATACAACAACCCGTCTTCGAACGAACATACCAAACGTGCACAATCAAAAATAATACCTATCATTACTACCGCCCCTAGAGTATTACAAATAAATTAAGTTATAACGTACATCTTGATTTTCAATTAAATTATTTTTGTAAAGTTGAGAACGTTGAATATCTTTTAAGGTATTAAATATTTTTATTTGTGCAAGCTTCATTAGAGCTTCTCTATCAATAAAAAATTGATTTGCCCATTTTTTATTTAATAGAAAAGTCCTGATGAAGCTTGCATCCATTCTCGACGGGGAAAGACAAACACGTAGCTCTCGAGCGTGGAGCATACTATCCCAACACAATCTCATCACCTCTATCCAGCACCGCTTTTTTTATTAGTGCAAAAGCGCTACTTGCTCACTAACATCGTATTTACTCGAAAAGATATGGCAAAGCCAGACCGAAAGCTTTACGTCAGGGCAAAAAATGTCGTGCGCATTAGTCCCCCCCTCTCTGGCGTTAATAATCTGTAGGCAAGGTCTTTAATCCCATCTTGTTAAAACTCGATCTTGAAAGTCTCGACTACCACACGACGTGTGTCGCAATCATCTATCACATACACTGTGACATCATCAGAAAGAGCATTTTCCTGGACCAGCCCCAATGTTCGTGTGCAAACAAGACAGGAACGTAGCACTTCTGCTACTGTTAGAAGTTGCCGTTGGCGGTCTGCTGGGTTCGGACCAGTTGAAGTAGCGGCTGACGACTGAGAACAACGTTGGACATTAGAGTAAGCGGACAAGAGAGAAGTAAAACGAAACAAACTCACTAATCAACCATTTCAGAATCCTTGTACCACAATGCTCTCGACAACTTCTCTCTGCCTAGGCCGATGGATAGTGAACGGCCATCACTAGACAGACAGTAGCTACAAGAACGGCGGTCTGGTAGCGCATGATGAGGAGCTTGCTGGGCACATCTACATCATGGTTATGCAACCTCCAAACGCAATGATGACGTAAGCGGAATCAAACGTGTCAAACCTCTTCGAGTCCATGAGGTCCACATGCAACAAGCCTGCGACTTCGATGCAAGCAGTCGCACCGATGGTACGCATGGTCAAACGCGGTCCAAAAGCAGGTCAAAAGGTAGTGCGCCAGCATTCAGTATGACAGAAGATGCTGCAACATGAGATTGGATCGGTTCTCTTGTACGTCGCATCAGGTTTCACCTGAGATCGTTCTTATTTTGAGTATCGGCCTTCATTCCGCAGTCAAAGGATCAATGGCGCCCAGCCAAAGAGGAGGCCTATGAGAGGACATTTGATCCGCACACTGCAATTACAAGTGCAATGCGCCCGGGGTGCAATTTGAGGTGGTCGCGTAAACTGGACAGAAGATACTTCCGGTGTCATGTGCCGTTTCGTACTTGCCAACAATTGCCCAGGTGGTAATCAGCCATCTGATACGCTTCAACTGCTAACCCTGGACAGCTGTTTGATGGTCAACCATATTTAAAGTATGTAAACGAGTCTGAATGCAAAAATATTGGTGTCAGTATCATGTGCCGCTGTTTTAATTGCCATGGCCCGCAAGCAACGTCTGGTGGTCAAACGGAATCCGATGCATGTCTTACGACACTCAGTCGACTAAGGGCGCTTTTTGGGATGTTTTCAGAAGAAACACATACCTTGACCACGCTTAATAGGTCGGTTCTTGGAACCACGAATAAAGAACTCCAGAAAACGACGACGTCTTTCTCCGCTCACTGCCCCATACAACACATATCGTTCATGTACATTTTTGACGGCCTCGCGTCTAAGGCCACCTGCGTTGTTGACTAACGATTAAGAAGTTGTGAAGGACCGGAACACGCTGATTCGCTATAGATAAATTTGTGGCGTTTAATTTTTCGACCGGTGGAGACGGATTTGCAGCGTACAACTTCTCAACCGATGGATTTGCAGCGTACAAATTTTTAACCGATGGAGATGGGTTCGCAGCATTTGGCCGTTACACCGATGGTTGCAGGGCTTGGCTTCTCAACCGACAGAAATGGACTCGCAGCGTTAGGCCTTTCAATTAGCTTCGGTCTTTGGTATTTCGGGTTCTTGAGTCAAAAATGCAGTGGCTTTTCGAAAGCGTCAATCCGTTTCAAACTTTAAGGATGCACGCCTTCGATTGGATTCTTCCGCAGCTTCTTCACTTGTTCAACCAGCGATTCAGTTTAGACGTAATCAAACAATATCATCAGATGACCGACGACTTCTTTTGGCTTTGATTGATACTTTTATCGAGTGTAAAAGTGTACTTGGCCAAAGTGTTCTCGTTTTGGCGTTCTGAGAGACCTTTTTGGATTTTCAGCATGACAGCAGCGTCTTTGACAGTCTTTTATCCTTGTAGCCGTTCTTTATTTAGCAAAGAATGCGCTGCCAAAACATTTACCGCCCTAATTTCCACGAATTTGCTGCTCTTTAAAAAGCGACAGAAACGATGCAATGCCGCGCACATTTCCGAAAGCTTCCACAGTATTCATGCCAACTTAAATGCAGTCTTGTAATGAAAGTTGAATACATTGACATGCTTCACCACACCTTGAGATTCGGGGCAGCGAAAAGGGTTGGTAGCAAGGTAACGATGACGTGGCCACCGTCACCAATCTTAAAATTGTTAGCCATGATCTTTACAAAAAAATTACCATCAAGATGAGTTCGACAGGATGCATTTCATGTCTTTGCATCTGATGGTTTCATACTTTTGGTACCGCGATAACCATGTCTCACGGAGCATAAGTCGCTTGGACCCCGTCGGATACCTCATTCTCAATCTCTCGTGCCGATTGATTAATACCTCTCAGTCTTTTATACTTCCAATCAATTGTCTCATTTAGAATGTTGAGATAACATGCCTTAGCTTGCTAATCGGTCCTTTGCAAGATATCCCTGACACCAGGACGGTTGCGTTAGCGCAGCATGGATATCGTATCGTACATTTGTTTGCTTAGGTACGTACCAAGACACAAGGTTATCCCTCTCTCTCCTGGTCGCGAATTTTTCTGCCGCCACCAGCAGCTTGTCCTGGACCTTACCGAGGGATGTTGTTACAGGAGCGAACGTTAACCATAACGCTGGTGCTGGTCGTTTTTATAAATAAAAAAAGTTGCCAAGTTGTGCGGGATGTGCACGAGGATCGCAGTGAAAGTCACGAAAACGGGAGGTTGGGGGCGCATCTTCCGTCCGTGCTACCGTCGACGTAAGGAAAATCAGAAAAAGAGAGATTCTAAAGTGAAGGAGGACCATTGGGTGTAACGAATGCACGAGGCATTTCGTCAACCATCATGTCATACAATCTCTGCTGGAAGTGATATTGTGGAAAGAAGACTTTACAGTAAATTTATGTTGTCAACTGGAGCTAACAAGGAGACTAAGTAGAATACGGTAGCAAGATAAGTTTTAAAAACCGTTACCGACCCTCCATCTTACTAATTAGTATTCATTTTGTGTTCAAAGCGAGCTATCAAGATTTTCTGGCTTCTAATGGGGTTTGTCTGAGCTGTACTAGAGAAAATCTGCTACGTATCCAAATTTCGTGACCACAGATATAGGTGATCATGAATGTTATTAGCGTGTCTTACGATTCTTTGCTAGGTTTTCGACCTTATTTACAAAGCAGCATCAGGTAATTTACTGTTAGCTTCCCCAACAGACACGTTGGCATTATAGTCGTCCCTCTATATCGCGGACCAAAATGTGTGGCGTGTATGCCTCGTTTCTTGTTTAAAGCCTTTTTTATGGAGGGTCAATCTCGACCCATCGTGATAAATGGATCTATTATACACTGATTCTTTCGCATCAAGCCTTGTTTCTAACGTGCTCTGCGATGCTTGCCATCTTCTAGGCAAATTCTTCACTGTTGGGCTGTATAGAAATAAATTCTAAAATACAGATACAACAGTCTAGAGCCGAGAATGGTCCAATCTTCACCTCATTAGCACTGTCACCATCATTGTAGTTTTCAATCGACTCGTTCTCTTTCAAGTCTAAGTTGCAGTCGATTGGATTGTCGTCATCCGCAACGATGTAATCGACGGCACTGACGCCGCATTCTAAACTTTTCATGAGCTTAGTTAGCTCGTCCTAATCAGATAAGTCGACATCAATGTAGTAGTCGCGTAGTGTGGTGAGATCGGTCATCGTCACCGCCCCCACGATTACAATCTTGATCCGGCAGATTCGAATTACTTGCTCGGGTACATCCTCCCAGCTTGATATAGCGAGACTCTAACAATCCATAATATTCGCCTTTCTGTGTATACTTGTGTGGTTTGCACCATGGAACAATCCAACGAATTAATTTGATACCGTTCTTTGGATGACCGAGTAGAAAATATTAGAAAAAGAACGTTTATAATTGCTGGCTGAGAGAACACTTATTCAAGCTTAATACGTTGAGCGGCTTAAATATGAAGCCATGTTTGGCGGCAAAAACTCCAGATTGACACAATTCAGCTTTAAGCGGAACCATAGTGAATCGACGTGATGTCCAGCGAGAGAAGCACGTGTTTCCCGTGTGTGGGTAAAGTCGCTTCCCAATTTTTTTGGGACGTGAATCGGTGAAAACCCACTTGAGACGTCACTTTCTGGCAGAAAACGAGACCAGGCGATAATGCGATTCATTAGAAGATGGAAAGTGACCCCAACTAAGAACTTCGATCCGATACAACGTCATAAGGGTGACAGAGACGGAAAGATATCTGATACAAGACGAAAATAGTACAGATTCCTATAGAGAAATCTGGGACAAGATAAAATCAGGTGGGTTTTTATGGAGTGATCTGGGATAAGAAAGCGGGATGAGGTCATAAAACTCGTCAGAATGTTGGTCAAGAAGAAGTATATTAAAGCATGTGAAGACCATACCGCAGATCGATGTGCTGTGGCGGCGGCCCTCTAAAAATTGACACATCAGGGACAAGGTGATGTCCCGAGGTACATCTGGACCAGATGGTACGGATAGGTGAATCTGTAACGAGGGCGCAACACTATACGGATCGGTGACACTCTTTACCGATCCTAAAATGGAAGCACTGATTTACATAATTATACCCCGATCTGGAAGTCATGAGTACTAAGGGAAGTCAAGGAAGTCTATGTTGAGGCGTATGGATGAGGTTGTCGATTGGAATAACACTGGAGGATTGTATTGGAGCACGAACCGTGAGACGAAAGCGTTATTAAAAAATCATGTATGGTAGTTTCAAGGCCCAAGGGATATACATGTGACGGTCTCATCTGATTGAATAGTGGTCAGACCAGGTGACATGTGGGACCATGAGGAGACAATAGGAAAAATTGGGAAGAAGGAAAAGGACGATGACTTGATTGATAGTACAGCAATATGACAACATGACGGTTGGGACAAGGCGATGCGATTGCAATGGGTGACTGACGTAGGAGAAAGGAGGAAGGACGGATACAATTAGGCAGGTACATGTTTAAGTTGCAGTGCAGTTGCGGCGCATTTTGCAGTATTAGTAAAGGAAATAATCAATCCTATTAATCAATTTCTTACTTTTACTTCTAACTACCTTTGCACACGTGCAAACTCAAGCATCATGAACTTAAAGGTTATAAGCCCAAGACCTCGCCCCAGCCATTTTATCAAGAGCCGAACTGTGCTAAAGAAACTCCGCCGGTGATGGCGCGTCGTGAAAATGGCGCCGAAGATCCCGTCTGAATATTGACGAAGTTGGCGCACGTGATGGCGGTGATGAGTAAAGCGCAAGGATGGTGAAGCGATGATGGCTGGCTGTGTGAGTGCTCGGAACGCTGAGAAGTATGGTGATTGAGGACAGTGTTGTAACAGTTTAAAGGGACTGAACCTTTGATCAATAGGACTAAATGTTGTGCGTGGTACGAAAGGGCTGTACGCACGAGGAGTCACAAGATCGTGCAAGACCACAAGACATGGCCAAGAAACCACCTCTCAGCATCAGCAAACCCAGATGAGCTCGCTTGGAAGTCGCCTAAGAACCTTAGAGAGCTCTCGCGAAAGGAGGTTTAGCGTCAGGGGAGCCGTGAGTTAAGATTGTTGGTGAGTATCGACAGAGGGGCCGGCA